GGTGTCTCGGGAGGAACTGCAGCTCTGGGTATGCAGTGGCAGGCGTCCCCCCTGTCCTGGGAAGAGGTGACTGAGTAGAAGGTGTTGGGTGGACGCAGGCCCTGTTGTCCCCCGTAGGTTTCAGGAGCCCCTCTCTCCCTCTGTGTGTTGGTTGAGCTGTAGCTCAAGACTGTCCATGTCCTCCCTGGCTGTCCAGACCCAGATGATTCCCCTGGAGTTACCCTGCCCGTGGGCGGTGCCTGGAGGGAGTGGGGGCTGCACAGGGACTCCTGGCACAGCAGGGTCCCCAGAGGATAGGAAGGAGTGAGTGGGACACAGCGGCCATATGGGAGGGACCCTGAGGGTCTGTTGGAGCCACGGATGGGAGTGGGCTCCATGTCCACCTCCAGAGTCAAATCCAGGGTGGGTCTCAGGGGATTAATTTCCTGAATGTGGTCTGTGCATCCTGATGCTGCCCCCTGGTGGGCATGAGGAGACCTGCAGACAATGTCAGGGGCTACACCAGAGGCGCTAAGGGCTGTCTCTGATCCCTGGACAGCGGTGGGCTATGACTTCCAGAGGGCAGGGTCGAGTCACCCAGGGCCCTCTCTGCTGTGGTCCGGGAGGGCTGTGGAGGATGGCCCAAGTACTTGGGTCCCTGTACCAGCATGGGAGACGGGGAGGAAGCACCTGGCTCCTGGCTTCAGATTGGCACAGTGCTGGCCGTGGCGGCCATTAGGGGAGTGAACCAACGGAAGGAAGACCTTTCTCTCTCTCTCTCTCACTGTCTATAACTCTCTCTGTGTCTCTCTCCCTCACTGTCTAACTCTGCCTGTCAAATGCCATTTGCTATTTGTCCCATTAAGGGAATACAAGGAAATACATTTACTGAATCAGTGTCTTACAAACTGTGGTTGGGAGATCTGAGGCTTGTCCAGTTCTGTCTGTAGTTGCAGCCCTATTCCCCCTACCCTTGTGGCCTTACTAGGTATCTATGGAGCAGAGATCTGAGTTGGTCCAGGGCTTTTCTTGTCGTTTGCTTTTTGTTTAACTGAGAGGCAGAGGGGCCAGCGCTATGGCATAGTAGGTTAAGTCTCTGCCTGCAGTGCTGGCATCCCATATGGGCGCTGGTTTGATTCCTGACTGCACCACTTCTGATCCCAGGCTATGGCCTGGGAAAGCAGCAGAAGATGCCCCAAGTGCTTGGGCCCTTGCACCTGTGGAGAGACCCAGACAGAAACTCCTGGCTCCTGGCTTTGGATTAGCTCAGCTCTGGCAGTTGCAGCCATTTGGGGAGTGAACCAGCAGATGGAAGACTTTCTCTCTCTCTCTCTCCTCCCACCCCCAAATAAATAAATCAATATTAAAAAAAAAATGAGAGGGAGAGAGAGAGAGAGAGAGAGAAACAAGAGCACTAGCACTCCCATTTGTTGGTTCACTCTCCAACTGCCCACAACAGCCAGGGCCTGAAGCTAGAAGTTAAGAACTCAATCAAGGTCTCCCAACATGGAAAACCCAGTCACTTGAGCCACTGCTGCCTCCCAGGGTGAACATTAGCAGGAATCCGCAGTCAGGAGCCAAGCAGGGGACCAAATCCAGGCACTTCAGATTGAGGACGCAGATATCCCAAATAGTGTCTTAACTGCTAGGCAAGATGCCCACCCCAGAGTCATTATTTCTAGGCTTCCACAGCTTGGAGGGACATGTTCTGGTGCGAGGAGAGGGAGCATAAAGATTTTATAGATTTTATTCTAGAACTGCGTCAACAAAGACTCAGTTCTGAGAATGTGCAGGCTCCCCCCTCAGGGTGAGCCACACCGCTCCTCAACGGACTTGAAGCCATCTGTGCCGGTTGATGCGTTGGTGTCACAAAGGGAAGGACTTTGCTTTCTCTCTCTTCACTCTTCATCCTGCAGCCAGCGTGGGTCAAAGTGCACCTGATGCTCAAGGAGCTGTTTGATGAGGGAGGGAAGGAATGAAGTGTGAATGGATGAATGGTCATGGTAACTTCAGGGACTGCACCTGGGTGCAGAGGGCCAGGGGGTCTGGCCACACCTGCTCTCTGTCCCTCTGACCACTTGACCCTACAGCTGCCCTGGGAGCTGAGTCTCATGTGACTCTGGGGCTGCTCACCATTTTCAGGGCTCCCTGGACCTGTTTCTGGGGCATCCATGAGCCCTGGGTCCTGGGGGGGGGTCCCTGCACCCTCATTGTTCCCTGCTCTGGGCATTTCAGTCTCTATCCATTCCTCCATGTCTCTCCTGTCCACACCCACCCGTTAGTTCCAGTGGGGACAGCCCCCACCCTGCACAAAGTCCTCCACCCTAACCTTTCCTATACACTTCCTGCCAGTGACTTGTGTTCTCGTCCTGCTAACACCAGAGCCAGGTCCACCCTCCTGGGCAATAATACAGGGCACAGAAAGCAGCCGAGGCAGCTGCCCCTGTGGGGACACATCATGAGCTCATGTTCCCTGGTCACCAGGAGAAGCTCCATCTGTGTCCCCATCCAGGACCGTCTCCCTCTGTGACACCAACGGGCCCCATGGCAGGGATGAGTGATTCCTCCATCTACTCTGTACACCAACCCAACCAGGGGATCAGAGACAGAGGACAGGTCTATGAGCCCTAAAGCCCACCCCTCATTCTACCCACTTGTCTCTTGACCCCTGGCATGGGGGTTATGTGCCTCCAGTGGTTCCTAGTACCTTCCCCAAGGGGGAGAAGACCAGTGTCATCCCATGGGCTTATTGCCCATTCCACAAACACCTGTGACCTCATGGTGACACCATTATCACGAGGTTGCTTCCCACAGATGGAGAGATGCAGGAGACACTGTGGTTTTACTCGGACTCTGCCCACTTCGGAACCATTTGATGAAAGTCTACTGTGATGCCTGAGGCTGAGAGAAGAAAAGCAGCCTCTTCCGTGTCTGAGTTGGGCTCCTCACCCTTTCCCTGACTCTCTGCAGCTTAGGACACAGGGCTCTTGTACACTTACTAACACAGCACTGATGGAGCATTGTCTCTCCCTCTGCATAAAAACACCTCGCAAGTCCCCTCTGACCACTTCTGTCCTCCTACCAGAGCTCACCGTTTTTCTGGCTCTAGGGAGTCACTGGTTTCAAACTGACTTTAGCATTTTCCTCTTATCACAGTGTGATCCTTGCTGGACTTCAGGGGTTGCCTAAGAACGTATCATGTTCCCTAGAGAAATATCTTTTTTTTTTTTTTTTTTTGACAGAGTTAGACAGTGAGAGAGAGAGACAGAAAGGTCTTCCTTCTGTTGGTTCACACCCCAAATGGTCACTACGGCCGGCGCTGTGCTGATCTGAAGCCAGGAGCCAGGTGCTTCCTCCTGGTCTCCCATGGGGTGCAGGGCCCAAACACTTGGGCCATCCTCCACTGCCTTCCCGGGCCACAGCAGAGAGCTGGACTGGAAGAGGGGAAACCGGGACTAGTACCCGGCGCTCATTTGGGATGCCGGCGTGGCAGGCGGAGGATTAACCAAGTGAGTCACAGTGCCGGCCCCGAGAAATATCTTTTTTTAAGCAACTGTCCCTAGATGCATTAATAACAATTTTTCTCATATGGAAAAAAATTTTTTTTGACAGGCAGAGTGGACAGTGAGAGAGAGAGACAGAGAGAAAGGTCTTCCTTTGCCGTTGGTTCACCCTCCAATGGCCGCCGCGGCCGGCGCGCTGCGGCCGGCGCGCTGCGGCCGGCGCACCGCGCTGATCCGATGGCAGGAGCCAGGAGCCAGGTGCTTTTCCTGGTCTCCCATGGGGTGCAGGGCCCAAGCACCTGGGCCATCCTCCACTGCACTCCCTGGCCACAGCAGAGAGCTGGCCTGGAAGAGGGGCAACCGGGACAGAATCCGGCGCCCCAACCGGGACTAGAACCCGGTGTGCTGGCGCCGCTAGGCGGAGGATTAGCCTAGTGAGCCACGGCACCGGCCCATATGGAAAAATTTAACTTCTATTTTCGATCCACCAAACACACGGAAGGGCAGGTTTTCAGCCAGTCTCTGATCCCCTCCCCATTCCATCAGCCACGCTTTGTGCACTTTGCAAAATCCATGTGTAATTTCAGGGAAGTCCGACGCTAAAGACCAAGACAGAGAGTATAGTCATGCTCCAAAGCCAACCTACCCCTGCCTCTCTCCCTCACTCAAACTAGATCATTCCTTGAACTCTATCTTTTAGAAGTTAATGAGCGCATGTCAATAGCCACCAAACGCCTGGGCAGCACTGGAGCCCCACAGCCCACTAAACTGGCCACCTGGCTTGCTCCTGTCCAGGAGTTACCTCTGTTCAACTCCCATCCCTGCATGACCCACCTATCTGCAGAATGTTCCTGAAAAGGAAAGCCTCAGAGAAACCCATCTGGGCTGGGCAATGAGGGTCACGCCGCTGGGCCAGGTAGGCAGCTGATCAGCAAGGACTGAGTGAGGCACTGGAGTAGGGAGGGGGTAGTTTCCAACTCCAGATCCTCGGTCTGCTTAATTCACACCTGACAAAGTCTGTGCTTCTCCTGGGCACAGAGCAGATGGGTCTCACCTTCTCTGAGCACCCAGGTCACCATGTAGCTCTGTCTCTGTCTCTCTCTGTCTCTCTCTCTCTCTCTCACACACACACACACACACACACACACACCTGCCTGGTTCTTTTAAGGACTCAGGTTGGCTGGGAGGTGAGAGATGCCAACAAAGGCAGGAGGGATCAAAGGCACCGCCCAGGGTGATCGTCTCTCTGTTCCTGCACAGCAAAATTACCTGAGCCCCACATCACGAGCAACCAGTCCCAGTCCGTGGAAGACGAGGACTCTGTGGCATTCACCTGTGAACCTGAGATTCAGAACATAACCTATCTGTGGTGGATAAATGGTCAGAGGCTCCTGGAGACAACGGACAGGCTGCAGCTGTCCCTGGACAACAGGACTCTCACTGTGCTCAGCATCACACGGAATGACACAGGACCCTACGAGTGTGGAGTCAGTAACCCAGGGAACACCATCCGCAGTGACCCATTAACCATGAACGTTTCCTGTGAGTAATGTCTTCTTCCACGCCCGGGCTGCCAGCCCCAATCCACACGGCCAGAGGCCAGGCCACTCAGCCCCTCCCAGATCCAAGAACAAGGACTCTCGCTCCTGGACATCCAGGCTGGCCATGATATCCTGTCCCAGGCAGATATGGACAGGTTTAGCCTTGAGCTGAAAATGGGGGTGGGGGGCTGTCCCTGTCACCCACCTGTGATGGAGAAACAGGTGAACGTTGCAGATTCAGGCTCAGTGGGTACTGGGGTTGTGGTGGGATGCGCTCAGAGGAACACCTTCTACAGACCGGGGGCATCCTCTCCCCAATGATGACGACCTATGTGGCTCTACTCTGTTTGCTCCAGATGGCCCGGATGCCCCCACCATTTCCCCCCCAGACTTGTATTACTGTTCAGGGGCAAAACTCAGCCTCTTCTGCCACGCGGTCTCTGACCCGCCTGCACAGTATTCCTGGCTTGTCGATGGAAGGCTCCAGCAATCCACACAAGAACTCCTAATCTCCAACGTCTCTGTGAATGATAGTGGGTCCTACACCTGCCACGCCCATAACTCCATCACTGGCCTCAACAGGACCGCTGTTGAGAACATCACGGTCTTTGGTAAGTACGCCCTGCAGCATTGCCACCAGGCCTGAGGATGGCGGGGGAGGCGGGGGTGGTTATCCAGTTTGTAGAAAAGAGACTGGAAGAAGTCATTTCCCAGTCTGTGTCCATGGGTACAGGCCATGGAGCCCCAGGGCTCCCCTGAGCTCTCCCTCTCTGCCTCTGAAACTCTCCTCCTCTGGCTTCCCTGACTTCTCATGGCTGACCTTGGTTCAACCTGGAATGGGGGAGGGGCTTCTCCCAGCCCCAGAGAGAGGCCCATGTCATGGGAGGGGCTTCACAGAGGAGGAGGGAAGGGTCCTCAAGGCCAAGCTGCTTCTTTCTGTCATGAACTCGTCTCTTCCTGTCTCCTTGGTTTTCTTTTACCTCCTGCATGAGCTACAGGGAACACAGGAGGCTTTGAAATATTCTAAGACGGGGGTTAAGCCGTTCAGAGCTCTGATCCCTGCTCTGCCTCTTCTCTCCCTAACTTATTAAAGGAAAAGAAACATCTTCCCCCTGCATATAAATCCACAGTACTAGGGAGGGGCCTGATCTTTTTAAAATAAAATATGATTTATTTATTTATTTGAAAGGCAGACTGACAGAGGAAGGCACACACACACACACACAGGGGCGGGGGGAGAGAGAGAAAGAAAGAGAGAATCTTCCATCTGCTGATGCACTGCCTAAATGGCTGCAACAGCCAGGACCGGGCCAGGCTGAAGCCAAAGCCTGGAGCTCCATCTGGGTCTCCCACATGGGTGCAGGGGCCCAAGCACTCGGCCATCTTTTGCTACTTTCCCAGGTGCATTAGCAGGGAAGCTGGGTGGGAAGTGAACAGTGGTGGCTTCGCCTGCTGTGCCATGATGCTAGCCCCAGACCTGATCTTGTATAGTCACAGAAAGTTCTAGGAAAATTCACACAAAAGTCCTTGGACAAACATTCTACTTGACAATGATATTGCTGGAAGCTATGGGCTAAGCTTCCAGTGTACACTACGGGGATGTCCAGGGAACTGGTCAGGGGTCAGTCATCCCCCTGAATAGACACCCCTGCAGAGAGCCCAGGCGTCCTCCAGGTCACGTTCACATGCTTATTGTGTGCTCTGAGAGCTGGCTGAGACCTCTGAGAAACAAGGGTCCCAGGCCTCAGACCCACTCTCAGCCAGGCCCCTCCTCTGTTTCCACAGGGCCAGTGGCACAGCCGTCCATCCACGTCATCAACACCACAGTCTTAGAAAGGGACCGCCTGGTCCTGACCTGCCTCACAGATGATGCTGGACTATCCATCCGGTGGACCTTCAACAGCCAGAGTCTGAACCGCACGGCGAGGACGCGCCTGTCCCTGGACAACAGCACCCTGGACATATACCCTGTCATGAAGGTGGATGAAGGGGAGTACCAGTGCGAGGCCTTCCACCTGAACTGCTCCAGCAAGAGTGACCCCCTCTGGATGACTGTGAAAGGTATGTGATCCCTCAGTCCCTCCGACATCTCACTGGGGGGATTATTCCAACAATGGTGTGCAAAAATGGATAAAAGTCACAGGGGACAGAAAATCAAGAGAACATTACAGTTAAGACACCTGCTCTGAATCAAATACACTTAGCTTCTTATCCTGAGTCTGGCATTTCCTATGGGACCTTCCAGATTCCTTTTTGTTTTGCTTTGTTTTTCAGTCATCCTGGTGGGTGGAAGGTGGTATATCACTGTGATTTTGACATGTATACCCCTAAGATTAGTGAGATTGAGCATCTTTTCGTGTGCTTATTGACCATTTGTATATTTTCATTGGAGAAATGCCTGTTCAAGTCCTTTGGTCATTTTTTAAATTAGGTTGTTTGTTTTAATTAGGTTGTTTTGTTTTTTTGAGTTCTTCAAATGATTTGGACATTAATCCTTCATCAGGAATATGATTTACAAATATTACAAATATTGTGCCCTTTGATGCACAAAAGTTTTTAATTATCACGAAGCCCAATTTATCTTTTTTTTTCTTTTGCTGCCTCTGCTTTTGCAGTCATAGCCAAAAGTCATTGCCAAATCCAATATCCTGATGATTTTACCCTACATTTTCTTCTAAGAGTTGCATATTTTAGCTCTTATGTTGAGGTCTGATCCATTTTGAGTTATTTTTGTATATGGTATTTTTTTATTATAAAGATTTGTTTATTTATTTGAAAGTCAGAGTTACACACAGAGAGAATGAGAGGCAGAGAGAGACAGAGAGAGAGAGAGTCTTCCATCCACTGGTTCACTCCCCAATTGGCCACAACGGCCGGAGCTGCGCCGATCCAAAGCCAGGAGCCAGGAGCTTCTTCCGTGTTTCCCATGTGGGTGCAGTGGCCCAAGGACTTGGGCCATCCTCTACTGCTTTCCCAGGCTATAGCAGAGAGCTGGATCGGAAATGGAGCAGCCAGGACTCGAACCGGCGTCCCTGTGGGATGCTGACGCTTCAGGCCAGGGCGTTAACCCACTGCGCCACAGCGCCAGCCCCATGTCTATGGTATTAAGTAAAGATTCAGCTTCCTTCTTTTGCGTGGATACCCACTACCACTACTAAGCTGAACAACGTGGTGAAGCAGGCATCCTTGTATTCCTGATCTTAGAGGGGACGTGTTCAGTCTTTCTCCACTGAGCATATTAGCTGTAGGCTTTTCATAGATTGTCTTTATAATGATGGGGTAGTTTCTCTTATTCCTAGCATGAGCATTTATATCATCAAAGAATGTTGAATTTTATCAAACAGTTTTACTGATTCAATCTCCTCACTAATTATAGATATATATTTTCTATTTATTCATGATTCCATTTCGATAGATTGTGTTTCTAGGAATTTGTCCATTTCATCTGGTTTATCCCATGTGCTGGCACTGTTATCCACAGTATTCTTATAATCCCTGTTGCTTCTGTAGAATTGGTAATAAGGTCCACACTTTCATTTCTGACTTTGTAATTGAAGTCTTTCTCTCTTTTTTTTCTCAATCTTTTTGAAGTTTCTCAATACTGCCAATCTTTTCTGAAGAAATGTTTCATCCATTTTCTCTTTTTTAAAACCTCTAATCACCATTATTTTCTTCCTTCAGCTAGTTTTGAGTTTAGGCTGTCCTTTTTTAATCCATTTATTGTAAGAGTAGGACGTTGATTTGAGAACTTTCTTTTTTCATGTTATAAATCTACTGCACAAGATCCTTAACTGCTGTGAACCTCGGATTCCTCAGTTAAAAACTGCAGTAAGAGAACCTGCTTAGTGGTATTGTTTTAAATGTAATACTCAATTAAACAATTGATTAAACAATTAAATAAATTGTTTTAATGTAATAATCAATTAAACCTTCAGCAAAATGCACACACAGGGAAACATTCCCTAGATATTAGCTTCTGTTATTACCATTGTTACCACCAGCCTTGGAGTCAGGTAGTCCTACACCCACCTCTTCCTAGCCATGTCTTTGGGAAATTTCTGTTTGCTACTCTAAGCCTTGGTTTTTTTTTTTGTTTTGGTCTGTAAAGCAGAAACAATGTCTACACTGTGTATCTGACAGGGTTATTGTTTGGATCATATGAGATATACGAAAAGTATCCAGCACAGATCAAGTAGGTAGTCAGTACCCATAACAGCAGCCAAAAGCAGCATTAATTACCAGCCTTAACTGACTGGTGAGGGCTAAGCCCCAGATGGCTGCAAAAGAAATAAGGAAAAATATGCAACAGGTGTTACTTAAGGGGTGAGGAGCATTACACAAAAAGTCATTGGCACACAGGTATTGACAAATATGAGAGGTTAAAAAGAGCTAAATACAAAGTTTCAAGCCTGGGATTTTGTTTCTTTGTTTTGATTTTTTTTCTTAATTAAAAAATTATTTTCGGCCAGCGCCGCGGCTCACTAGGCTAATCCTCCACCTGTGGCGCCAGCACACCGGGTTCTAGTCCCAGTTGGGGCTCCGGATTCTGGCCTGGGAGTGCAGTGGAGGATGGCCCAAGTGCTTGGGCCCTGCACCCGCATGGGAGACCAGGAGGAAGCACCTGGCTCCTAGCTTCAGATCGGTGCAGCGCCAGCTGTGGCAGCCATTTGGAGGGTGAACCAACAGAGGGAAGACCTTTCTCTCTGTCTCTCTCTCTCACTGTCTAACTGCCTGCCTGTTTGCCTGCAAAAAAAAAAAAAAAAAAAAAAAGAGGGGAATCAATTGCAAGGATATGGTAGGCTAATGATTCTCAGCACAGAAAACGTCGTCTGAAGGAACACACAGAGGCTGCTTCGTGCTCAGAGCTGTTGCTCAGGGCGCCCCCACTGTAGAATAATTTCAAATTTCACCTTCACTCCTTCTCTCTTTTTTTTCTTCTATGACAGATAATCCAGAGCCAGAAGGCCCTGGCCTCCTGCCTGGGGCCATTGCCGGCATCATCATCGGGGTCGTGGCTGGGGTGGCTCTGATAGCAGTCCTGGCCTATTTTCTGTACTGCAGCAAGATTGGCAGGTATGATGCCTATTCCTTGTGTTCCGTTTTCTCCAAGGCAGACTGCCACGCTTGGGAGAGCAAAAGGACTTCTTCACCGGTGTCTTGGGGCCTGGGTCTCCCTCGCCTCCTTCCTAAACACCTGCTTCTTGGCAGTGATTCCTGCAGGTGTCTCTCACTTGGTCTTCGTGGTCACTGCACCCAGCTGTCTCTTAGACGTGATTTTTCCCATTCCCACGTGGTTCGGAGGAACAGAGACAATTACGCGGCTCTGTCCCCTGGTCAGGGAAGGAAAGCAGCAGCAGGAGCAAGTGGGCCATATGCTCTGCTGACCAGCGCAGCAGGAGGAGGGAGGGACAGGACAGGGAGAGAGCCTCAAAGACAGCAGGAACAACCAAAGTTTTCTTGTTCAATAAATAGAGTGAGGGAAAACAAACAGAACTGCTTCTGGAAAACAAAATGGGAAAGACCTAAGGGCAGAAGCAGTTAAGAAGGAACGGCCCTAAGCGTGAACACCCAGCCACCAGGAAAGGAGCAAACACTAGACGGGGCCGTGGTTAGACTGGCAGACGAGGTCCCGAGAGGAAAGGCAGGGCCAGCCACAGCAAGCACGAACCAGGAGAACTGAGGAGCTGTCTGCTGACCGTGTCCTTCCTAACCCTGTGCTTGGGAACAGCAGTCACAGTGTCTGATGTTTATTTAGGGCAAGCGACCAGCGCCATCTCACAGAGTACAAACCCTCAGCCTCCAACCACAGTAAGTACAGTCACTCCTCCCAGTGAGAACTGGGATGTGCCCACCCTGGCAGGGAATCCTAGATTCCCAAACCACTGGCTACCTTCTGAATTCCTGCAGCGGGGTCTCCACACCCGCCGTGAGCTGGCATAGGTCCTCACGCCCTTCCTAGGACACAGCCCCAGGAGAGGAGCTCACTCCACCTAGGCCAGGCAGAGGCCTGAGAAGACCACATGTTTCCAGGAGCCACTTCCTCACCCTTACTGCTTCCCCTCCTGCCTCTGTCACGGATGTGGGCGCTCTGCCTCGGTGAGGTGCTCTGTCTCCTGCTGCTCTGGGTGCTGTGGGCCTCCCTGCCCCTCCCTGCCGCCGCGGCCTGTTGCTGAGAAACCATCTGGGCAAAAATCAAGGCCTTGCAAGCCATTAGACATCTTCAGAAGTGGACTGAGGCCTCCTGTGGCTCTGCCTCTGCCCTCTGCTGCTGTTAGTGTGCCGGGTCTGGCCCCCTCCTCCCCGGGGATGGATCCCGGGCCACCTCCCCTCCCCCGCCTTCGGCCAGAAATCCCAAGGCCTTAAGTCAGCTTTGCACTTCCGTGGAGTAACAGCTCTTCTGTTGCCTCCTCAGGTCAGGGCCGCTCTGACAGCTCACCTGAACAGGTAAGCGCAGGCACTCTCACCGGCTCATCTTCTCACGGGAAGTCTCTGGGTAGAACGGGTAATTCTTGAAGACACGAATGCCAGATCAAGTCCTTGGTCAAATTCCTCAATGCAGCAGCAAGCAGAGAAGTGCTGGTTAATCACTCCCATGAGTCTACCTCACAGCAAGAATGTGCACTTTGGAATTCCCCCCATCCTGTGTTTGAATCCTGGCTGTCGCTCATTTTAACTCTGTGGCCCTGGGCAAGCAGCTTGACCTCTTTGAGCCTCAACTTTCTCATCTTTAAAATGGGCACTCTGCCTACTTCAAAGAGAAGCTGAAGGGATTAAATGAGATAAGTCTAAAGCACTCAGCACAGTCTGATCCTTCTCTCAGCTGTCAAAGAGATCATTCCCGGGGCCAGTGTTGTGGTGTAACGGGTTAAGCTGCCGCCTACAATGCTGGCATCCCGTATGGGTGCCAGTTTGAGTGCTGGATGCTCCCCTTCTTTTTAATTTTTTAAAGATTTATTTATTTTATTTGAAAGTCAGAGTTACACAGAGAGAGAGAGAAAGAGGTTTTCCATCTGCTGGTTCACTCCCCAATTGGCTGCAATGGCCAGAACTGCACTGATCCGAAGCCAGAAGGTTCTTCCGGGTCTCCCGTGTGGGTGCAGGGGCCCAAGGACTTGGGCCATCCTCTACTGCTTTCCCAGGCCATAACAGAGAGCTGGATTGGAAGTGGAGCAGCTGGAACTTGAACCAGCGCCCATATGGGATGCTGGCGCTGCAAACAGCAGCTTTACCCACCACACGACAGTCAGTCCCCAGAATTTTCTTACTTAACCTTTCAGTAGAGTACAAATATATACTGAAAACTACTTAAATCATAAGTTTACTTTCACAATGTATAAATAAGTCTTTTTTTAAAAATACTTATTTATCTGAGATGTAGAGTTACAGAGAGAAGGAGAGACAGAGAAAGGTCTTCCATCTGCTAGTTCACTCCCCAAATGGTTGCAATAGCCAGAGCTGGGTCGATCTGAAACCAGGAGCCAGGAGCTCTTTCTGATCGCCCATGCCAGCGCAGGGGCCGAAGGACTTGGGTCATCTTCCACTGCTTTCCCAGGCCATAGCAGAGAGAAGACTGGAAGCAGAATAGCCAGGACTTGGAACCGGCGCCGACATGGGATACTGGTGCAACAGGTGGCAGCTTTACCCACTACACCACAGTGCTAGCCCCTTTCACAATCTATAAATTTCACAAGTTGAACATACCTAGGTAATGTAGTACCCAAGTTCAGAAACACTATATGATCATCCCCCAAACAACAAACCCTTCCAGTCACTTCCCTCCAAGGAGTAGCCATTGCCCTCAGGATAGTGCTGTGGGCTGCTTTTCACTCTTATGCAAGGGAATAATAACACAGCACGTCCATATATATGTCTGACTTCTTTCTCTCCTTCAACAGTTTTGTGAAATTCATCCACATTGTTGTATGTATCATTGTTGTATCATCATATTTCACTGTATGAATGTCGTAACGATCAGTGCATTAGGCAGGAAATGGGTGACCAAAGCCCTTCTCCAAAGCTAAACATTTCCAAGAGGTGATGGCACCTGGTGCTGAACCACATGGGACAGGGAGGCCCTGACCTGCGGCACTGATTTAATTGATTGCTGCCCGTGCTTTGCAGATTGATGAAGTCACATATTCCTCCCTGATTTTCAACGCCCAGCAACCAACGCCAGCATCCTTATCCCCAAGAGCCACGGAAACGGTTTATTCAGAAGTAAAGAAGAAGTAAAGCCACTTGTCCTGCTCACTCCACTGCTGATATCCTGGGTGTCTCCTGCATCACCAGCAGCCTCTTTACCCTCAGGGGGAAAGGGAAGGAGCCCCCATCCCCCACCCCACCCCTTCACCACCCCGCCCTTCAGTGTCAACAGGTGGAAAGGCACATCCGGGAGTCGGTAGGGAACCTAATCTTCCTTGGCACTGAAATTGGCAAAGCCGACTTTAGGAGAGCGATGCCAGGGCCTCCCGTCCCCTTTCCCGCCTCCCTGCTCAGAGCCCATTGTTGCTTCCCACTCAGTCCTGTCCTATCAGAGTTTAACTTGGATTTGCTTGAGGATGTGTCCTTTTCCCCTGAAGTACGGTGCCAGAAGAGAGAGAGAGAGAAAGTAAAACCAGTACTGGTTTCTTCTCTCTCCAAAAGATCAGGGCCCAAGTACCTGGCTGCTTAATTAGAATACCACCTAAGTCTTTGGCAAGTCTTGTCTTCAGAGAACCCGCTAGAAGCAAACTGGGAAAACTATTTGCCAAGTTTCATAGCTGATTTCCTAATGGAAAATACAAAAGTACACGTGCCTCTTGATATCTTTACAGGTATTAAGTGCCCAGAAAGGGAGCGATTACCGCTTTAGGGGGAGGATTGGTTTTAAATAGACTTAATCTACTAGGAACTTGGGAAAAGAATCAGAGAGCTACTGCCAGATTACTTAAATTGTTGTTAAAGAATGAACAGTTTGGGGTATTGGCCTTTCCTCTTTCCTGTGACATTGTCATTCTCATTTTGTAACTGCTTATTTCTGGGAAAGAGTGAGTTAGGCAAGCCAGCCTGACTGCCTTAGGTGAAAGAAGCCACCAAGCCCCTCGGGTCCCCTTGGCCAGCAGATTCTCCCAGCTCTTTTTTTCCCCCAGGGCTCCACATAGAAAAGAAGAAGTTTTCCTCACCCGTGGCGAGACACGGACCTGACTCGGTTTTTAAGCTTGTCAGGCCAGTGGTCAGCAGCCGCCGACCCAGCCCATATTTATGCCCAAGTCACCTTCTCAGGAAACCTTGGCCTCGGCTGGGGTGTGAGGGGTCGCTGTTACCCATGGATGCATTGTTTACAGCCAGAAGCTGCACTGGTGCTGATACTCCTTGGGAAATGAGCACTGTCAGGCAGTGGGGATTACAACTTGGCCCTGAGCTTGGTGTCCGTGAATTCCAGTGTGTTTTAGGAATAAAAATTTTTTATAAAAAGGCAGGAGGAGAGGCCAAACACACTTCTCAGGCAGGCTTCTGCTCCATAGGTGAGATCTATTTGTGGCTAGTAAGAGAAAGGCTTTATTCCATATTGACTGCTTTATCTCATGCCATGCCTAAGAAATCTCCTCATGAGAATTAGCCGGAAGTTCTCCACACTCAGGTACCTCTTTCAGGGTTTCCTGACCCTGACATGTACTGTAAATATCTCCTTCATCCTTGCTATGTTGAGTTTTTAATTTCACCTGGCTAAGGCCACTTGGGAATTATTTATAAAATTTGTTCAATATTTATAATAAAAATTATATATCAGACATCAACATGCTGCCTCATGACTGACACTCCTTTAGATAATGTCTTCTTTATGGTGTTGGCACTGTGGTTAAACCACTGCCTGCAGCGCTGGCACCCTCTATGGGTACTGGTTCATCGTAAGTCCCGGCTGCTCCACTTCCGATCCAGCTCCCTGTTAATGCACCTGTGAAAGCAGTGGAGGATGGCCCAAGCGCCCACATGGGAGACCTGGAAGAAGCTCCTGGCTCCTGGCTCCTGGCTTTGGCCTGGCCCAGCCCCAACTGATGGGGCCATCTGGGGAATGAACTAGTGGAGAGAGGAAGATCTCTGTCTCTCGCTCTCTGTCTCTTCCCCTCTCTCTGTAACTCTGCCCTTTCAAACAAAATAAATAAATCTTATTTTTAAAAAAGAAGACGATGTGTTCTTTTCAGGCAGAAGAAAAGAAAATACTCAATGGGGAGTCTAAGTAAGCCTATTTCTAAATCTACAGAGCTTTGATCTGGAGTCAGAGAATCAACTAGGCTCGCTTGCACCCTGTTCAACAAAATGACTGCATCTGGGAGCACTTCCTTGCTGGAAAGAACTGCTCTGGGAAAGATGATTTTGTGAGCTCTACCTTAGGGACCAGTAACACTTCCCACACAGTGGCTCCAGGGCAAGCAGCTGTGGCAGTGCAGCTTCTGTTACCGGTTTCCACAGGCTCGGGCACACGGAAATCTTCCTAAGACCCTCTGTTCCATCCTTGTCGCCAGTTCCTCTTTTTCTATCCTTTCGGAGGGCCAGATCTCTTTCTCCCTTATGAACTCCACCGAGAGTTGACCTGTGATCCCAACCCCTTCACTTCCACACAACTGAGGTCCAGCTGCTGTCTTTGTTCCTGCTCGCCTATTCCTGCCCCTGCAGTAGCCTCTTCACACCCCAGACCGCTGGCAGCAGCAGAAAATCAGTACCCACCTCTTGGCCAAACTCAAAGGTATTTTCATTGTCCTTACACTACGCTTCTACATCTAAGACCACAGACAATTTTATCCCTCCAGGGTGTTCTGCTTTCGTCCCCTGTCTACGCATTGGGCCCCACACCGGAGTTAGTACTCAGACCCTCCCTGTCCTCCCCCACCCCACCCTCTGTCCTCAAAGGCCTGTGTGTGGAGTGCATCTGTATCTGCAGCCCCTACTACTTCCCAGCACTCCTGGCACCTGCACCCACACGCTTCCTGAGACTGCTCCTCAGTGAAGGTGCCCCCTCCACAGCACACGCGTTTCTCACAGTGAGCACCTCAAGGTCTCCCCGGCCTCTGTGCTGATTCAATGCATTATCAAAGGTTGACGGTCATTTATTTACTTATTTTTTTTATTAACATTCTTCCATTTTTTCCTTCCCTCTACTCCCATAAACTCCCATAAACTAAACCAGGCCTTCGACAACCGCTCCAAGCATCGTTTAACTTCTTGTCTCCTGGGCCGGCGCCGTGGCTAATCCTCCGCCTTGCGGCGCCGGCACACCGGGTTCTATCCCGGTCGGGGAGCTGGATTCTGTCCCGGTTGCCCCTCTTCCAGGCCAGCTCTCTGCTGTGGCCCGGGAGTGCAGTGGAGGTTGGCCCAAGTCCTTGGGCCCTGCACCCCATGGGAGACCAGGAGAAGCACCTGGCTCCTGCCATCGGATCAGCGTGGTGCGCCGCCCGCAGCCTGCCGCCCGCGGCGGCCATTGGAAGGTGAACCAACGGCAAAGGAAGACCTTTCTTTCTGTCTCTCTCTCTCTCACTGTCCACTCTGTCTGTCAAAAAATTAAAAAAGTAAATAAAAAAAATAACTTCTTGTCTCCAGTCTCTCTACTGAGGTCTTCCTGGCATACTGCATCTTCCTAAAAACTCCTCCACTCTCCTACTCAGGAGTCTACAGTGCCCTAATCAGATTTCTTCTCTTTACCATCTTGCTTGCTTTTTTAAGTCACCACTCCCTAACAATTCTTCCATTCTAATTAGATTCGTCTCCCTACACATCCTTGCACCTCTAACCCATAGAAACATATAATTTTTGGTCCCAATGCTATGTATAAAAATGAATACCAGGGGCTGACGCTGTGGTGCAGTAGGTTAATCTTCCATCTGTGGTGCCAGCATCCCATATAAGCGTTGGTTCTAGTCCTGGCTGCTCCTCTTCCGATTCAGCTCTCTGCTATGGTTTGGGAAAGCAGTAGAAGATGGCCCATGTGTTTGGGCCCTTGCAACCATGTGGGAGACCCGTAAGAAGCTCCTGGCTCCTGGCTTCAGATCAGCTCAGCTCCGGCCACTGTGGCCATTTGGGGAGCAAACCAGAGGAAGGAAGACCTTTCTCTCTGTGTCACCCTCTCACTGTCTGTAACTCTACCTCTCAAATAAATAAATAAAATCTTAAAAAAAAAAAAAAAGAATACCAATCAGGGTCATTTTCTTGCATTATCTGTACTTTGGAGAGAACGACACCTTCCTGACAAGCAACTTTTGACCTCATGAAAGACAAGGATTGTAGCATTAACGTTTGAAGCTGAGACTCAGAACACAAACTTCATGTGATTGAGTCTTCCTGGTGATCAATCCACATGCTCATGAAAGATGCAGGAATGAGGCAGGCAGGGTCCTCATCCCAGAGGGCATAAAGCCCAAGAGAGAAGATAAGACACGGGAACAATAATATAAAACAGGGACACAGGCTTCGAGAGAAACCTATTGGAAAACATGACTACAGTGGAATCACTGGAAAATCTATTAGCGGAACAACTGATGCCCAAACCCTACTCTTGAGGTCCAATTTGATAGGTCTGAGGCATTGGTAAACCTTCCCAGGTGTTTCTGACACGCGGCCAGGCTGGAGATGTCCTGATACAACAGTCAGGTGTGTTAGGTAGGGGTGTGCAGAATTACCAGGGGGACTTTTCCACTGTGGCATAAGCCTCTGCACCAGCCCTGGAGAAGCACACACAGTGTGTCTGCAATGAGATTTGGGCTCATATATTCTGAAAAGTTCCCAAGTGATTCTCATACGTATTCTTTTTTTTTTTTAAGATTTTTATTTATTTATTTGACAGGTAGAGTTACAGACAGTGTGAGAGAGAGACAGAGAGAAAGGTCTTCCTTCCGTTGGTTCACCCCTCAAATGGCCGCTACGGCCAGTGCTATGCCCATATGGGGATGCCAGTGCTGCAGGCGGAGGGTTAACCAAGTGAGCCACAGCACCAGCCCCAAGAAAAATAATTCTTTAAAAAAGTTATAAACAATCTCACTCCAAGATATTTTCGCAAGAGGAATGAAAACAGATATCCACACAGAGTTGTACAGAAATGTTCATAGCAGCATTATTCACGATACCCCAAATGAGGAAATAAACCAAATGCCCATCAACAGATGAATGGATACACAAATCATGGTAAAAATCACAGGCTGGACTTCCGAGATTGCACAGTGGGGGATCTGCGGGACCCTTGGGCCTGGGCTGTGAGGGGGCGACGCTGAAGTGGGGACAGCGGCTGCAGAAGCGGATCGCACTCTGTGGGCAATCCTGAATCTGAAGTGACAGAGGAGCGCCTGTTCGAGCTTTCCCACCAGGCTGGGCGAGTAATAAAGGTAAAAATTCCCAAAAAAAGGATGGTAAACCAAAGCAGTTCACATTTGTAAATTTCAAGTATGAGGTGTCTGTTCCTTATACAATAAATCTACTTAATGGAATCAAACTTTTTGGAAGGCCAACCAAAACTCAGCTTTGACCAGGAAGTGGTCATGCCTCACAGGATGTCAGTTTGTCATATCTCCAGCATCACGTTGGGAATTCAAGCCTTACTGGGGCCCGTGCCTTGGCGCAGTAGGTTAATCCTCCACCTGTGGTGCTGGCATCCCATATGGGCGCCGGTTCTAGTCCCAGCTGCTCCTCTTCCTATCCAGCTCTCTGCTGTGGCCTGGGATAGCAGTGGAAGATGGCTCAAGTGCTTGGGCCCCTGCACCCATGTGGGAGACCAGGAAGAAGCTCCTGGCTCCTGGCTTCGGATGGGCTCAGGACCAGCTGTTGTGGCCATTTGGGCAGTGAACCACGGAAGGAAGACCTCTCTCTCTGTCTCTCCCTCTCATGATCTGTAACTCTACCTCTCAAATAAATAAGTAAAATCTTTTTAAAAAAAAATTTAACAAATTTATATCTCATAGTTCTAGAGATCCAAGATTGAAGTGGCAGCAGATTGGGTTTCTTCGAGGACTCGCTCCTGGACTCACAGATTGCTTCCCTCTTGCTGCGTCTTCACACAGTCTTTTCTCTGTGCCTACACATCCCTGGTGTTTCTCTGAGTTCAAATTTCCCCCTCTTTCTAAAACAAACTTTTTTTAAATAAAGATTTATTTATTTATTTGAAAGGCAGAGTTACAGAGAGAGAGAGGGAAGAATGGGGAAAGAGGGAAAGAGACAGAGAGAGAGAGAGAGAGAGAGAGAGAGAGAGATCTTCTATCCTCTGGTTCGTTCTCCAAATGATCACAACAGCCAGGGCTGGGACAGGCTAAAACCAGGAGCCTGGAACTCCTTGTGGGTCTCCCATGGGTTGCAGGGGTCCAAGCACTTGGGTCGTCTTCTGCTGCCTTCCCAGGTGCATTAGCAGGGAGCTGGATCAGAAGCAGAGCAGCTGGTAGCTGAATCTGTGCTCCTTGGGATGCCAGCATCCCAAGCAGCAGCTTAATCAACAACTCTGGCTCCTAAAAAACTTTTAAAATTAATTTATTTTCATTTTATTTGAAAGAGAGAGAGATACAGATAGAGGGAAATCTTCTATCTGCCAGTTTACTCCTCAAGTGCCCCCATCACCCAGGGCTAGGGCAGGCTTAAGTCAGAAGCCCAGAACTCAACCCAGGTCTCCCACGTGGGTGGCGGGGATCTAGTCCCGGAGTCATCACCCGCTACCTCCCAGGGTGCACATTAGCAGGAACCTGGATCAGAAGCAGAGGAGCCATAACTGAAACCAAGTATTCAGTGTGGGCCATGGTATCTTAACTGCTGCACCAAATGCCCACGC